TTCCTGAGCTTTCGAGCTCTTACAAGAGCCCATCGTCAGAGGTGGAGAAACATCAACAAATGTGGAAGCTACTTGGGGCGTGTACAATAACTAGGAGGTCTAATCACTCAGAAATCATGAATGCAAAAGGCGATAATGTCTACAAATCCTTTCTGACAAAATATTAGGGAGAAACAGTACCCTGAGCCTGGCTCTCCTCAAAGGCCTGCGCGCCAACAATATCCACCACGATTTTTGGATGGGGTTGTTGCTGTTGTGAGGGCGGTATTCGCGTGAAGGCAACTTTCTTTGGGGGTGCTTCTCCTCCACTGCCGCTACTTGTATTACTACAGTCATTTTTCCCACCCATGTTAACCATTTGAGAACCTTGATGCGACGGCAGGGTCTTGGACGGCGGGGCATCAATGCGCAACATCTTTGGTTTTAACACTAAAAAGGCAAAATAGGTGCTACTTACAAAATGCGAGTAGACATAATTATCTAGGAGTTGGTTTTCATAAAAAAATGACCACTCACGGGCAACGGGCGGCGGCGCCAGCTGGTACCAGAGTGGCTCTGGGGCGACGAAGAAATCAGTCCAGGACAGAATGCCAAAGGGTTCTAGGTTGAAGTGTTCCATGATAGTTTTCTGCGTGAAAGAGGTAGGCTGACATTAGTCTGGAAGAAAGGGCTGAATGCAGAGGACTTATCGCGTCCCAACAAATGCCAACATTAAAGAGAGAGAGAGAGAGAGAGAGAGCGGGTGCAAACCTTTGGTTTGAATACTGAAAACTCCAGGTGACAGGTCTGGCGGATGAAAAACTTGATCTTCTCACGCGTCAGGAAATTTTTCGGTCCGCGTTGTAAGACGGAGCCGGAGAGGATCATGGAAGATGAGTTTTCAGGCGCGGAACAACCCTCGGGACCGGCCGTCATTGATCTCTTGACAACGTACTTGATGACCGAGGGATCTGGAAGTTCAGATGCGCGATGCATGCCGTCCTGTATGGAGAAATGTAAACAGCAACTTAATAGTCAGAAATGGCCATTCCAGTCGGTCGCTGTGCGTCTGTTGGCGGTGCTCGAGGGTGAAAAGACCTCCAGTGAAGATTAGCTGCGAAATAAGCAGACCCACTGGGTCTGGCGAATAACCAGTCACAGACCAGCAGCAACAATGCTACGAGGGCGCGGTGGGCTGACGTCT